GGTGTTGAGTTAGGTCGATTTTGGCCGTGCAAAGAGGTGGTGGTGGTGGTATTGATTTAGGAGAATGTGATTAAAAAAAATTTGGATTAACTTGTAAACCAAAATTTTTTTATGGGAGAATGTGTGGTTTTTGGAAAAATCGGGCTCAAACAGGAGAATATACTCTTGAACCATGGTCACACCGACTAACTCTATTCAACAAATTTTTTTGAAAATTTTCTTTTAAAATTTATAGGTGGAGAGAAGTCAACAAATTTAAACGGTGTATAATGGTCAACCTAAGAATGAGAATTATGATGTGATAATGTTGCTTAAAACCATGAATTTTCTTAAACCCAGGAAAATTCATAAAAATATCTTTCTTCAAAGACCAGTAACATGGTATTTAGGCTTCTGAATAAATTATTTTCATTTCGGTTACCAAACAGGACGCGATGGTGAAAGATACATTAGAAAGGGCTACGGAGCCAAACCTAAACTTGAGAGCTTACCTCCAGGACGCTTACATACATCCTGTCTTCAAAGGAATCGAGTTTGAGAGACCACCAGCTATTGATGAGGAGGAGAATAATCCACTTGTTTCTACCAAGAGAAATTCTCGAAAAAGTAGCAAAACAGGTTCCATTGCATCTCCTGATGCTGGCGTTTGAATAACCGAGGAATCATTTTGTACTTTGTCCAAAACGGTACTCAGCAATGCCTATTCTTTGTTATCAGAATATCAATTTCAGGTAGATATTGTTTGGTCATGTTTATCTACAGATGCACAAATTGTGCACAAGATTGGGTACTCGTTAGTTGTATTTATTCATCCTCAGAATCACAGAAGCTATATAACAGCTAAAGGAAATATACTGACTTTTCATCGAGTTTCGCTATACAAACATAATGCTTAACATAGGAATGACACTACACACACATAGGGGAGGTCGGCATTATTTAATTCAGATCGGAATCCACATGCAATGTGAGAGGTCGACCCTATATCAAGCATTATATTTATTTAGCTTAATTCCTTTTCATCCATGTTGTAAGAACTCTAGCTGTCTAAATCTAAAGCCTATTGGCAAATGCTAGAAAGGAGTTTCATTTTGAACTTTCTTGCGGCACTCGTCATATTTTTATTGTTTTATAGTCTCAGTTCCTGTACCTTATGGTGTTGATAATTCAGGTCTTGAAGAAAGTTGTACATTTCATCATATTTTTCTGAGTTACTATGGGTAATGTAAGTAATATCAATTCTTTGTAATTGTGGCATTGCTTAGGCTTATCATCCAGTTCATCTGATTACTATGGGGACAATGCAGTATTACTTCGACAAATTCTGATTCGGGTCCCATATGAAAGAAAAAGAATGGAATTGTGTAATATTCCCAAGTGTTTCACTAAGATTTCGATTAGTAATCCCGCAGAAAATACTTGGTTATTTTTTGTTATTAAACAAAGTTAATGTTGTTGTGGTGCTCCATAGAGACTGGCCACTAACTGTACTTCATAATGCTAGTTTTCATGCTAAAACATTCAAATTAAACCTATAACTTCATGATGCAATTAAAAATTACAAAACGAAATGACTTCGAAGTTCAATTTCTTGGATGTCTGTAACTTACAAACTGGTACAAGAAACAACTGTAGCATGATAGCTTACATCTCGGCGAGCAAGATCAACGCACTTGACCTTTTTTGTTGAGTAGCGGAAAAAACTTCCATGCGGTCAGTGATTACATGACATAATTTTCTATTTTCTGTTTTATCCATCTTGTCAAACATACACCAATGCCAACCCCGATGACTAGAGAAAGAAGATTAGGCCAAGACAAAGAAATACAGTTATACACCATGATTGAAGCCAAAAGTAGACCTATTAAGTTAATCCAATGTCCAAATAAAGATAAATAGTAGTTGGTTTTAAGGCTGCAACCATTAGTCCAATAGAAGTGTTGTTGAATTTTTTCTCGTTTCTATCTTGTTTAAACTGAT